AGAGATATTCCAACGAAATAAAATATTGACAGTCGCAAGTCTGTACATTTCAAAAGTATTAACATATGTACATGAAAATAAAGAACTTCTCCAAACAAAAACAAAGATGCATAACTATAATATAAGAAGAAAAGATATGATCATAACACGAAAACATCATCACATAAAATATGAAAAATCTACTAATTTGGCCGGCATTCGAATGAAGAATCAACTGCCAAATGATATAAAGACATTTTATTTTATGAGAGAGGACATTGGCAGATCAAGATCTTCAGACGATGTGGTGTTGCAGGTTTTTTCCTGCAGCTAAAAAAGCAAATGCGCCACTGGAATCAATGAAGTTCAAATTTTAACTCAGTCTTTTCAGTAGGTTGGATTTAATCAAGTGTTCAAGAAACTCCTTCAGAATACGAAGTATTTTGTAATTTTTGTCTTCAATGTAGCGTCCTATCAATTACTGCAAACTTTTTTATGATTTATTCCAAATAATTTCAATGGGAACTTTCACATATATTTTCAGTTCAAAAGATTGACAATTATTCAAGATTCCCAAGGTAACTAGTTCGGGAAAAGTTATCAATCTTAGCAAACCCAGAACTAATGAGAATCTCGTTTCAGCTGTGAGAACCAGTTCAAATCTGCATATACTTCTTTTCGAGATGAAGAGATTAATATTTAGTTTACAAGAAAACTGTTATTACCTCTGATAAGTACCTTCCAGATGGTAATTTTATCGAGCATATCCTCAATGTATCACACTTTGTCCTATAATTACATAAGCTGAGGAAGAAATTTTATCTCAAATAATATGCATCAACTGAAGTTTGATAAAAATATCATATTCCGATGAACTTCGCAATGTCCTGGGGCTACAAAATTTCGTGTAGGCTCAGTGAAATTGTTTAAAGGGTGGTATGATGACAGGAATTGTTTTAAATATAATTTTCATAAAGAGCATTCGCGTCATGGAAATAATAATCCGTTTTTCATCAGTGGTTCAGAACTTTATCATCTCTTGGAATATACACACATTAATATGGCATTTTCCGCATTTTCTCAACTATTGAGACTTCTCAAAATAATTCTAATAACTATTTTCATAAATTTCAGTAGTTTGCCGAAAGATTCGAAAGAAAACTTTTGCAATTTATTCAGTGTTCATATAGAAGTATTTGTTTCGAAAGAATTTTTTTCTTTCGTGTAATTCAATGTTTATATGAAAGTAGCTGTTACAGGAGGACTTTCTTTCAGTTTGTGTCTGAAAGTTACTTTTTTGCATGATCTACACATCCATGTATAGAGTTACTTATTTTCAAATTGAATACTTCCTTCCTTTCTTTGGATGATTCCCTCATCCTTTTTTTGTATCAAGATGGAGTAGTAGAAAGCCAAAAACTTTCTTCCCCAAAAATATAACCCCTTCAACTTGGAACACTGTTCCGAACCAGAAAACTATACACACCTCAGCAAATTTCGATGCTCTATAAAGCTCAGATAAGATCTTCTTTGGAGTATTGTTCTCATGTATGGAGCTCTGCCCCTAAACATACCCTGAAGTTGCTGGATTCCATCCAGAAAAGAGCCATCTGCCTGATTGGAGACACAATGATCACTTGCAACCTTGATAGTCTGGAACATCGAAGAAAGGTTGGAGATTTGTCTCTTTTCTATAGATACTTTCACGGGAAGTGTTCAAGTGACTTGGCACATTTTATTCCACCAAGAGCGGTACATATCAGAAAAAAGTGACGGACTGTGACAATGTGAATCACTACTTTCGCACAGGCACCGCTCTAAGAGCGCCTCACGAATTTTTCTGTGGTGCTTGTGTTTTGTCCTTGAAAAAATTCCTAAATTGACTTTATTGACCTTTTACTAGTTTCAACCGAAAAATAGACCGCAAAAACATTTGCTTCCAAAATTCTGTGAACTAGAAAGATTTTCCATTATGACGATTGAAGACCGAGTGTGATTCATATATAACGTTCACCTTGAGCTATTTTTAATGGACAGCACGTTTTACCTTTGTAAAAATTGTAAAAAATTCTTCATTTCTATACACCAATGAACAATTAGTACCGCCAAACAATATCATTATTAAATCAATTAGATTCAATTCACTTATCCATAAAGTGCATATAAAGATGCATAATAACCATATCATCACTTTCATACACTTTTAATTAAGTTTAAAAAGCAATAAAACATAAGTGATTATATACGTTTTTAACAAATTGGAATTATATTATAAATCGTTGTAATTATTCGTTCGTTTTGGAATAAATAAAACTACAAAGCGTTTCACAATGAGAATTATATAATTTTTAATTCACTGAAAAATTGCTGGTAACTGTAAGTATAATTCCAAATGCAACTTGTCTCTGTATGAATTTGCTATTTTCATCGCTAGGTTGGTTCGAAATATCCATAATTAATTGAAGATGAAATACGGCAATACTGTATAATTTTGTCAAACAGCACCGATTTGCACAAAAATTTCGACTTAGTTTCTATTAGGGGGTGAAAAATTGTTCATTGAAAATAAGGCGGAAAAGATAGAACGACGAATTCTAAGAACTTTTGTTCCATTCAACAGGCTATTACTCCTTTTGTATTTGGTCTATATTCACTATGAACTCACCATTATTTTCAATTTCCATGGGCTAAACTTTAACTGGTAATTATTTTTTATAAAATACTTACCTTTTGATTTGATACAGAAAAACCATCTGGAAACGTGGGGATTGAAAAATTAACACTTCTGACTATCAGAGAAGAAAATTTGCCTAGAATCAATCAATCTATCAAGTCTCGAACTCATTTCCAATGGATAAAGGTCATTGACTGGACTAATTAATTACAATAGTGAATACAAGGAACTATTTGTTTATGGACAATAAGTTAAATCGTACCGAATTGATGCAGTGACCACAATGAATTGTAAAAATCGTTCATGGTTGAAAGTTTCTTCTGTAACTTCTTTTGGTGTAAATGAACTTTTTCACCGTTATGCTCTCAAATAAGATGGGTCAGACATCATGCAAGGTTCTTGAGTCTACCACTTAATTATCGAATAACAGGAGTCTATCCGTTTCCATAAATCTTTAACGGGCACAGAAATTACATTCGAGCCGCACTAAGATATACTTTTATAATCGCTGAGTTAATTTTCCGCCTATTTGTCCGGCACATTGACACGAAACGGTATTTGAAGATTCAATATTTTTATTGAACACGTATAGATAATTGTCAAGGTATTGCTTTTTTCTGTTTACTAACTAATGTTAGCCCGGTAGAAGAACATTTTTACCTACAATAAAAAATAAAAGATATAATATTTTAAGTATGGCTAATTGACCTAGTTGCAGTTCTCGCTGTTCTGGTTTAAATGCCAATAAAACCTTTTCATAATATAAGGATGTAGGCCGTGTTCCTCTTTGGTTATAGTCTCCAACGTTTCAACTGCAACTGCGGCAGTCATCTTCAGTGTCGTACCACTCGAAGAATCCCTGAGCTACATAGAGGAGATCTTTCCACAAGATATCAACTTATTTCGACATTCACTAACGACAACTTATTTTCAATGGAATAAAACCTTCTATGAAAAAGTTGATAGAGTCGCCATGGGCAGTCCACTTAGCCTAATAGTGGCAAATTTCTACATAAAAAAAATCGAAGAAAGAGCCATTCAAACCTCAGAAAAGCGACTGAAGCACTGCTTGAGGTATGTAGATGACACGCTCGTTGTTTGGAGCCATGATAAGAAGAACTTCAGAACTTCCTAAATCATCTGAGTAGGTTTCATCCAATCCAATCCAGTTCACCATGGAATTAGAAGAAAACCTCCAAATTCCATTTCTTGATGTTTTAGTCATCAACACCGTAGTGAACAGAGCTTTGAGAATATGTGAAGAAAGGTACGTCGACGGCGATATAAAACACCTAACAACTGTGGTACAAGCGAACGGCTACGACAGAAAAGACATAATCCGCGCTACGCATCCAAGGGAAAAAAGAGAAGGACCAACGAAGAAAATATCGAAGTATCCGAGATCGGCAAAGAACAGCAGAGATCCACTCAAATCAGCAGGAGATTACAGGGTTCCATGTAACTGTGGTACTCGGCTATTCGGGCACAAGCGTAGTTGCCGATTGGAACAAACCGAAAAGTCTGCAGTAGCATATGCACTGTCCGACAGAGAACACAAGATGCTGTTCGAAAATACCGAGAGGCTAGTAACGTCAAATTATTATTTAACAAAAATGTATTTGGAAGCCATAGAAATACACAAACATCAAGAGAACTTCAATAGAAAGGAAGAGAGACACGCCATTGAAAAACGCCGAAACGAAGTCAAGTTATACAAATCGCGCAGGAAGTATGAACGACCCCCACATTAGTGAAAGTGCGCGGATATTCAGCTCTATAAATGAATCGGCAGAAATGAGAGCTTCAGTTTCAGTTGACACGTCAAAAAGAGTAGGTACTTCGACAACGCCACTGAAGATGACTGCCTTGCAGTCGAAACATTCGGAGATTATAAACAAAGAAGACCACGGCAAAACCCGGAAGTCAATCAAAACTTTTTCATTTATCCTTACTCCATAGATTAGGAAATATTTTCTTGATATCTAAAGGAGAAACAATAGAGATCAATTTGTGTTGATTCCAAGAAAGAAAAACCTGCTATTATAAGCCATGTCATGTTGGTATAACTAATAAATCTCCTGGCATCGACAAAACTCGAGAAGTTGAGTGTACTCACAAATCTCGTGCTATGAATCGCACGTTGTAATGAAGGAAACCATTAATCCTCAACTCGCACAAGTTTAGATTCCTGAAAGTGGTCGTTCGTAGAGGAGCGACAGCTGGTTTCGAAATGTACTATTGAACATGTCTACTTTCATTTTTCACGAATATAGGTGCTCTTTATTTACCAATCAATAAATAACTGAGGGTTGAAAGTATGGGTGACTTAGTGATTCTTTGATTTCAGAGCGAGTATGCAATACCAAACTACACAGGACGAAGGTCGGTGTCATCCCTCAACCACACACTGCCTTGGCAAGAAAGACCACCTCCCACACCGGTGTCATGCATTGGAATGGAACACAAATCGTCCAGGGGAAAACTATGTTCCATAGCTCTAGCCATAGCATCTTTCGTAGTCTTAGTAGCGGTCCTAGCAGTTGCTGGGCTCGCTTTGTATATGGGTGTATTGCACACTGAAACGCCAAATGGTGAGTACTCTGCATTTTTGAAGCATTTTGTTGTACAACAAATCTCATTTGGAAAATATTGTCATGTCTACAGTATATGTATTCAATATGGGAGATCGACAAGTCAAGTTTCTTTGTAAGATGCCAAGTTGTGAAAGGAACTCATTGCAAAACTTTCCATTCTCTAAACTAACGTGTCATCCCTCATTCATTTCAGATAGAAATAGAGGTCGAGTGATAATACAAACAGCTTTCGAATTTTCATCCATTGTTGCTTTGCGATGCTTTGTGATACTTAACTTCGAAATGCCAAAAATACGTTTTCCGAAAAATTTAACACTTCAATTCATTTTTGATGGTGGTTGCAAGAAATATGTGAAAATTTTCATTTTTTTCAGCACTACTTACCTTTAGCTGTAGCGCCAAAGTTCTTAGAGGAGATAGATTCGTGGGGGCTTTACCGGAGAAGGCCCGTAGGTACAAAAGACAATTCGAATTACTATACCAAAGGAGTATACTAGGAAAGGCATTCATTTCGTGTGCCGTTGACAAATTTGGAAACGACACTGTGACCATTTATTACAAACTAGCGTTTAATCGGATGAAGTTGACAAGGTTAGGGTGAGTTTCTTTATTGTTTCGTATTATCTCAACCTTTTATGATTTCAGGAATGTTTCCAATATAGAAAAGGCTATTAAAGATATCTTACTGACGGATGCCATATCAAGAAATTCTGTTTTCAAGAACGTACGCTTTGACCCTAAACATATAAGTGTTAGACAAATTTTAAGTAACGAAATTCCTCAACAACCCTCTCCAGTTTCATCTTCCCATGTAGTCCCTACTGACTCAAGGAAAGTAGTAGTAACAACAAAACCAAGCGTTGTTTTGAGACCTAGTAACAAGACAACTACATCTCATGCTCACATTCCGAAGAAACCGATAGTTATAGATGATTTAGAAAATATCAAAGAGGAAGATTTGCCAGTTATTCAGGGTTCGTTTAAAATAAGCAAAACAGATGCTGATATTACCGAGAAAAAGACTGAACAATCCACAAGCAAGCCAAAAATTTCCGAAAAAACAACCACATCTTCTGTAAAAAAATCGACGTTCAAAGAATCATCAGTCACTAGTGCTCTCTATAAAATAGCAGCCGTTGAAAAAGTTACAAAGCAACCAGGAACATCTACCACCAAGCAAAGTACTTCTGTGTCCCCCACCACTCTCAAAATTTCAACTACATCATCTACTCCCAAAGTTGAAATGACCCCAGTGGTGACCTCTTCCTCGCCTGTATTTGTCGTAAACCCGTTCGACGAAGCTCCTTGGATACCGATTTTACCTAATATGTCACCAGTCACTGAAAGATCCTCTCAAATTTTATCAAATCAATATTTCTTCAATCCAACGTACCCACCGATTTCTGGTGACCAGCCTACATATACTAGTTTTACGAATCCTGGGTTATCACTGAATTTCAACGAAGCAGAAAAGCTTGGTTCTACCAGTTTGAAAAGTCATCCCATTCCTGTGAATAAAATACCATCCACCGAACCTTCTGTATCTCCTCCAGTCCAAAATGATGAGCGTCTCGATGATTCAGTTAGTAAAACACCAACTTCCAGTGTTGAGCAGCCGAATTTCGTGGAAATCAAAACGTTTGAGTATGTACCCAATAGAAAGAAGGATGTGGAGCATAGAAAGGAAGAAATGTTGAAGAACATATCTTCTATTTTTCATACTCTAGCAGCTTCACTTGATAATCCCAGTGTCAACTTCTCGTCCAATGACTTTTCCTCCAGTGAAGCTAGTCCGAAAGAAGAGCAGTTTTCTGGACAAGGACAGGTTGAGGTTGTAGTTGATGATGTCGATGAATTGATGTTACACACAACCAGGAATCCCCTGGTGACTTTGTTACCAGTAAAATCTAACTCAGGAATTGGTAGACCATTCAGAAAAAGACCTTTCAAATCAGGAGAAGATAATTTTTCTACAGAAAATCGTAGTTTCCCGAGCCATCCTTTTTATGCGAACTCCAATTCAGCAAGTAGCGTGATAGAAACGAAGAACAATAACAAACCTGATTTTCAAATAATGGGAGTACTGAATTTCATACCAGAGAAAAGCGTTGAAAGTAACCAAGATGCTCAATCTGACATAGTGAGATATCCTAAAATGGACCTGGACCTCTCCTTGAAGGAGCCATTGAATGATGGCGAATCATTCGTTTTCGTGACAAACTCTTCAGAATCAACAATGAATAATTCAAATATCTTAACGATGGAAGAAATAAAAAAATTGTCTGAGATCAGCAAAATAATCGACAATTCAACTGTTTTTGAAAAGGAGCCTACAATTTCGAATAAGGCAATTTCCTCTAGTCACAGTACTAGCCTGAATGGGATACAGATAATGACGAAACCGTTCAATAAGATTAATTTGTCAGAGAGTGGAAGTTATTTGAATCTAAACGTATCAGGTATGTAAGAGATAATTTTTCAAGTAGGTAGTGAACTTCAATAAGCAATCAAACCCTCTTTTTATCGAGATTTTGAGGGTTTTCAGCTCTTTACAAACTGAAAAGAGTTCAGTAGATAGCTAGCCTATTTGAAGTACTTGAAAGGAAATTGAAAATAACCACGTACTATTTTTTCAATGAAAGGAAGTACAGCGTAAGCATTTATTTGTTAATAACAAATTATTCATTGAATAAACATTAAAAATTTATCAATGATCCTCTTTCATTTTTTATTGCACTTGTTGATCAACAATTTATTTTCGTCAGAAAATAGTAATAATTGTAATAAAAATTGTAATAAATAAATTGCCATTCGTGTTGGATGGTTGGGGGTATAGCCATATTCACTATTGGTAAATTTAATTTCTGATTTTAACATTAAAAAACTGGGTCAGATGATTAATATTTTTATGGTGGATATCGTTTATATTGATGGTCGGAACTGTGTTTATTTTAGATTGTACAAATTCTTCTGTAATTTGTGGTGATGGAAAATGTCTGCCAGAAACGACCAAATGCAACCAACTTATAGACTGTAACGATGGAAAAGACGAACAAAATTGTAATTGTGCCGATCATCTCAAATCGCAATTCTTAATCGGCAAAATATGCGATGGTGTGGTAGATTGTTGGGATTATTCGGATGAATAACATTTTTTTGAATTTTAACATTGTTGTTATGAGAATTCTATACTGTAACATATCTTTTTGCAATAAAATAATTTTCGATTTACCAAAACCAGCAAAAATCGTTCTATTCCGTCTTTACCAAAACAATGGGTTCTTTTAGTGGAAAAAATACAGATATACTCGAAGAAGTCTTTTGCACATAAAACGACTAAATAAATATCAAATTGCTGGTTCAAACAGATAATAAAACATCATAAAATAGAAAAAAAAGTTATCGAAAATCATTTAAAAAAAAGTTACAGGTCATCAACATTTGCCATTTCTACGCAAGATTTATAGTTCATTTCTGCATGGTCCAGACATACGTCAAACGACAACTGATTTGAGATGTGAATATGAGAGTGGAGGCTATATGCGGAAGCTACTGAATATATCCTACGCTGGGGCGCCAGTTTCGAAAATTTTCTATGGCTGGGGTATGTCACACCCCACGTGTCGGACGCAGGGTTAAGGTCGATTCAAACACATCAGTCCCGTCATGTCACAGTTCCGGCGCCGAACGGAACAATCCGTCATAAAAAATAATTTTTAATAGAAATATGCCACCGGCGTTCACATTTATCCGTTTCTAAGCAGACAGGTTTCGACCCGTCTACCGTCCGACCGATTTTATAATCTCCGCGACGATATTTTTTGGTTTGTCAGGAAACATGTTGGGCGGTTCAAGTGAGTATGAGAAAATATAATGTTATATATGATTTGTCGCATGCAAAATGTATGGACATTAATATCCATACATTTCAATATTTAGAAATACAGTGTCGCGTATTTTTCGATATCTCTTTTTTTCCATGCGTCATGAATCCATTTCCGTCTTTTTACTTGGTTTGCTTCAGCTTCTTCTTCGTCCAAACATATAGCTATTCTATGCTAGCTAAACATATGCTAATTCTTTATCCGAGAAACTTGCCATCTGCTCAATAGATTGGTCGCTGATGCATTCCGTGTGTGTACGAACAGACGAAACAAATAGTTCTGTGACGGGACGGTACCCGTTCGGTGCCGGAACTGTGACGGGACTGATCGTTTTTGAATCGACCTTTATCCCGTGTATGAGTCGCAAACATGAATTTTGAATTAATAATAATAATCTTTATTCAATCCTTACAGATCACATACAGCACGATATAGGATACGTCACAAATAAAAAACCGTGTGATAATAGACAAATTTACAATTAACAATATTAAAATATCACAATTTAATAGATTTGTTCACATATACATGAAAACATGTATAACATTTATATTCAAACATATGAGCAAACACATTTTCATTTTGCATCAAGAAATTCTTTGATACTGTAGTAACATTTGTCTTGCAAATATATTTTCAATTTCGATTTGAAGACTTTTTTTTTTCTCTCATTGATTCGGCCGTTACTTGATGAAGATCCATAGTAAATTCACAAACTACACCTAAACGATTTGATCTCCACAAACTTTATTGAAAAAATATATCACAACATGTTTCGCTAAACATTAGCTTTTTCAAGTGATTANCGTTACGCTAGTTGCACACACATCTATTAAATGAACTTGAACTGTCACTCCAGCATTTATATGCTTCACTATTCAAAAGCCCATCATCACATTCACTTATTTTTCATTTTATTTTAGAGTGGTGCCAACCTGATCAATACGTTTGCAGCAATTCCAAAATGTGTATCGACGAGGATAAGATTTGTAATGGTTTCCGAGATTGTCCACAAGGAGATGATGAAAGACAATGTGTGACCATAGCAGCTGACATCGAATCTGCAGATAAATTTCCCTATTACTCTGAAGGTGAACTTTAATCAATGAACACCGAACAATTATCTAACCACAGTTTTTAGGTTACTTAATGGTGAGGAAATATGGAAAATGGGGTAAACTTTGTATAGACAACTTCGAAAATGTCGTCACCTTATCGCACATTTCTTGGCAAATTCCAGACCTTGGAAAAGCTGTTTGTAAATCCATGACGTACCAGTAAGTTTTTTCATAGTATACCCTTAACTCTTCCAACTCAATCCATTGAAAACACTTTCCCAACACCAGAACAAAAATTACGGTCTCTCGACGCACGTTTCGCTAACCAAGTTAACATCCTCAGGAGTTCATTATGAATATATTTTACTACTTTGTTAGTATTTTTATATCCTTGTGGCATAACTACTACCTGTTAGTTTCACCTAACAACACCGGTTATTATTATATAACTACTACCTTTTATTGATCCTATGCTAAACTACCTGTTTTTTTAATGCCTCTAATTTGTTATGTATTTCCTCTATGTGAGATGTGAGCATCTCTAATATTTATGGTTTTTGATTTAGAATTATTACGTATAAGACCAAACACAGGACTGTTCGAAATAGGACCTTTGTCGCTATTTATAGAACTCATTCGGAACTTTTCGATTTGCAAGCTTTCGAAGGCACCCAGAAACCGTTCTCAACAAGTTTAAACATTTCTTGCTAATTCTATGGTCGTTCTCTATGGCATGTTGAGCGACACTAGATTTCTCCGGTCTATGAAACCGAACATGCGAAACATGTTCCTTGTAGCGAGATAATATAGTCCGTTTGGTTTGACCAACATATTTCTTATCACAATCCTCCAGTATGTTGTTTCTGGAGATGATTTCTACTCAATAAATGTTTGAAATTTCACTAGTCAAGGAATAACTAATATAATACAGTGTGTTCCAAATTGAATGTAGTATTTAAAGAATTCATTTCACCCAAACCAGAATCAAAATACTGTCTCTGGGCGTGCGTTTCATCAATCGAATTAGCTTCAACAAGATATGATAGGGACTGAGTTTCTATATCTAGATAGATCTAATCATATACATTATTACCTCAGGTAATGAGGGTCAATCGAGGTTCAATAAGTGAATACTGTTTAATGTAGGATAAAGAAAATAACTTTTGTCTGACTTGAGTTTAAGTCACGTTTAACAAACCGAAACCGGTTGTAACAATAATAAAAAACTTGTCAGAAATCAGACAAAAGTTATTTCCTTTATCCTATATTCACTATGAATTTCTACAAAATAATGAATCGAAAAACCTAGTACTGTTTAATTCGTAATAACATCTCAGCTCAAAATTCATATGTTGGGAATGGGACTTTTACCGTCGCATCGTTCATAGATCTCATTCCACATTTTTCGATTTCTAAATTCTCAAAGGCGTCTGAAAACTTGTTGTCATGTACCGGTTTAAATAATTTCAAGCTTCCCCACTTATTCTGTATCCGCTCTCTAAGGCATGTTGAGCGACAGTAGATTCCTCTGGTCTATAAAAACGAATATGTGAAACATGTTCCTTGAATCGCGTTATTATAGTACGCTTAGTTTGACCAACATACTTTTTCCTCATAGCTCATTTCGTAAATCCCAAACTTTTTTCCTTCTTTTCATCACCTTCGTCCATCGAATTATTTAACATTCATTGGAGTGTAGCCACATTTATAATGATTTTTTTAATTGGTCCAAACTATTGAAGAATTAAGTGTACCTAAAAGTTTCAAAACTGCTAGTAGACTCCAACAAATGTTGGGCAAGCCGACATATTTATGAAGAACTATAAAGGTCCATTCGGTCGGTAGCCGATCGGTTCGACGTGGGTGCTTTGTTCTTACACTCGAATTGACCGCCGTGTTGGTCGATGGTTCAAGCCCCAACCTGAACGCTCGATTTTCACTTGCTATCGTCCAACCCGTGTTAGGAATCACATGTTAAAAAGTAAGACCTCGTTAATCCTTAGCTTGCACAAGTTTCTACTTCTGAGGGTTGTCGTTCGTAGGGGTGCGACAGCTGGTTAACGGAAAAACAGATTTTTAAACAGATTCCAAACAACCCCGTTCACCCTTATACATGATAATTAGAAATAGAAACCAGCTAACATAACAGGTAGTCAATAATATGTCACTTAGGATTTGAATTCATGAATAAATTGTGTGTATTTTCTATAATGTTATCCAATTTGGTACTGAAGAGCCTTGGGGCAAGTGTCTTAAGGCGAAACATCGGTGTATACCAGTGAGGGTGACAGTGTTCCATGTAAGTGCAATTTATTACCATTCATTCAAAGTAGAACTCATGTTTAACACCAAATCAACACATTCATTCAACCTCATTTGATGACTCCTATTATTTGAGGTAATGATGTATTCGAGTGGAGTTTGTAGAATCTCAATCTCTCTATCATGTTCTGATGTTAACTTGGTTAGAGAAACGTGGGTGGAGAAACAGTGTTTTCGTTCCGGTGTGTGAAACGTTTTTTCTTTAGATTAAGTTTACGCTATAGCGTAACCTCTATAGAGGTTTCAAACTAGCTCCTCCTTGTTTTGCTTTTACATGTCAAAAAAAAATATATCGCTGTATCTAAACGTATTTCTCATGTATTATTTTTCATTTGCTGTTTTCAGAACTATGGCTTCTATAAAAACAGTGACGGAACACCGAAAGGATAAAAAGGAAGCGGAATACTTCGAATTGACGTACTCCTTCCAGAACGAGACGAAGTCCAATTTGTCCTTCAAAAAGTCGTCATGTAGCGATAAGAAGACGGTGAAGGTAGAATGCCAGTCTCTCGAATGCGGTGCCCGTCCACAGGCTGTCAAACATATTGCTAGGTAAATATACTCTTGAGGTTGCCGCCTTGAAAATTGTTTGAATAATTCCTGCATTTGGTACATTTTTTATTTAAGTTGTATTTTACGATTTTTGAAACAGGCAATACAACGAGGAACGCGAGGCTCAGTCAATATTTTATCTATATTCTGATCTTTGAGGTTTTTATGTGTTTGCGCCCCTGATGAAAAACAAATATGAATGTTCAAGTTTTATTCGATTTTAACGGTGGGCTGACGTGGGAAAAAGGCAACATTCACACTCAAATAATGGACATCATCCACTTTGAATCTCAAAAGAAATCTGTATTCAAACATTCATAATCAAATAACAGATTTAAAAGAAAACTAACATTGAAAAATCACAAAAAATTACATACAAATATAGAGTTGAAAACTAACACTCCGAAACCGATCAACCGAGAAAAAGTTTGGCGGTATGTTGAATTTGTATTACGGTTTCTCGGAATTTGTTAACTATCGATGGCTCAAGTAATGGTTCCTCAATGTTTAAATCTTTACCAATTTGAAAAATACCCAAATGCAACTAGATGCATAATCGAATTGGTATAGTCAACAGTGACAGCTCGTGCATTGGAGAACAGGGGAGGCTTAAGTCGTATAGACTATATACACACAGAAAAGCCCGCCGGAGGCGCGAAAATTTTTATGTTGTTGCACGCTTTGCTTGATACTAAAGTTAGGGCATGGACATGGGCGTAAAAAGTGCATGAGGAGCTATGGACTTTATTTTAATTTGTAAACCATTTAAATGGCTGGCCATGACCGCAGCCCCATCATAGGTTTGCGCAATTAACTTTTGCCTAAAATTATAGGTGTCACATGTACGAATTGAAAAATTAAACAAATCATCAGCTGTACGCCCAGATGAAACATAATGAAAACCCATAAAACGTTCTACCACATTACCATCTTTGACATATCTAAAAACGATTGAAAGTTGTGATGTACAGGTAATATCGGTAGTTTCATCAATTTCCCATGCAAAAAAAGAAACACTTTCAATCTCCTTGCTTATATTTTCCTTAATAACATATGCCACACTGTCTATAATAAGCCCATTTTGGATGTTTTTTGAGGTGCCCGAAAAAACGTTACCGTTTGAAAAAGTGCCAAATTGTGAATCATATTTGCCCCATAACACGAGGTGAATTTTTGAAATCGGAGTATCCTATTTTAGACCACGTTTGGTATTCGGTTTGTACGGAAAATAAAACACAGGGTCAACAAAAAAGTTTTTCTCGTTTAATGGAGCCGGTTAACCAATCGCATTTATCGTACCAACTAATATCAAATCCTTGATTTTGTCGATTATGTGACGATTTAATTGAAATCAAATTTGGTTGAGGCCTTCCCAGAGTTTTAATAATGTAAAATTTATTATCATAAGATAAAGACTTAAAATTATTTGTCAGCAACCAATCGACTATATCGTCAGATTTTTTAATTTCATCCAACTTATCCATAATAAATAAGAAATTCTTCTACAAAAAATCATATCTTCAACGATGAGTTCAAAATTTTGTACATAGAAAATAAAGGTTTGAAACTGAATCATTTGGAAGCAATGGAAATTAATAAACTTAAAAATTCAAAAATTCTAATGAATGACCACCTAGATATGAACAGATCGCCATTATTGAACTTGTTTTCTTAAAAACCGAGAAAGAATTATTATTGATATAGATGTAAGGTAATATGCTTCAGGTGATCATAATTGAACAGGTACCTTAGGTAGAGGTTTAGGTAATTTTTTGGAGGTAGTCTCAATTATGGTTACCTATAGTACATAAATATTAATGTAAGAACAACTAGAAGTATTCAAATCACTTGACAAAGCTACTGTGCTAGCGAAACATGTTGTGATATATTTTTCACATAAAGTTTGTGGAGATCAAATCTTGAGGTGTAGTTTTTGAAATTTCATTCTATAAAGTTGTTGAATTGACGAAATATCATTGAATACTATTCTATGAAAATAACGTACTCATTATATCCAAAAACAAATATTTTCAGATGAAAGTCATGAATACATACTATACGATTAAATCTATAAGCTGTTTTATAAGAAATCAGTCTTGAAATAACACAAGTTTGAGTTACTAACAACGTCAATCTTAAAATATTTCCTTATAATCTGTTTGTATGGAAATGAAACATTCTGTTTGTAACGTTTCTAAAATATAAGTAGTATTAGTAGTAGTAGAAGAATAGATTTTTCTGAAAAATGAGCATTTTCATCTATCACGAAAAAAAATCATGAAATATGCGATATACTCATGATTTTTAATGTATTAATTATCCAGAAAAAGTTTTTATGTTACATCCCATCTTTCAGAAATTCATATTTTCATATAGGATAGAAATATTTTTTACATTCCTGAAATTAGGTCATCGAAGTGGTTTTGAGTACAATTCTGGATTACCAAAAATACGTATTACCGTCAGTTTGAAGAAGATTACTTGATATTAGACATATTTATAATGTTGAAATATTTCAATCAATGAAAAATTGTATATATGATATCCAATAACTAACGTCATCAAGATGACGATTATTCATAGGTATACATGATTTGAAAATCATTTCTGTGATCACCTCATTACAAACATAGTTGTTTAGAACTATTCTATCTATCTGCACACGTCTTGTATGACAGATATTTTGCAAATACACTGTTTACTGGGAAACCTCTTGGTTAGTGAATTCCATTCATAACAAGCTCAGAAGTCTTCAGGAAAGTTGGTGCTGGCGAATAATTAACGTGTGGCTTTTAGCACAGTTGATGTTGGTTAGTTAATTATTGTTTTTTTATATTTCTCTTGAAAACTAAACTCATTGTCTGTACTACTAGAAAAGTTTTCTGATCGTTATGTTGAAATGGAGAAGTCAGTTTTGAATATCTAAAATTCAATTGACCACCTTCACAAAACACGTTTTTTTGAATAAACCACTGAGACCGACGAGATAATTATTGCGACCAGAATATCTTGAGAAATATTTTTTCCTATTCCCCACTTAATCCTCATTAAGCCTAAGGATTAAGTGGGGAATGGGAAAAAATACCAGTGGGGTCCAAACAGAACTGGCTGGTATCTCAATCGCCACAAAAGAAATAACCAGGAAAAGAATTTCTGACAAAAACATAACAATCTGCACTGACAGCAGACAAGCCCTGTTAGCCTTGAACAGACAACGTGTAACCTCAGGGTTAGCACTAGAGTGTCACCAAGATTTAGCCAAAGCCTCGGTAGATAATAACATTATCCTGAGGTGGGTTAAAGGGCACGACAGGAGTAAAGGTAATCGCATTGTCGACTCTTTAGCCAAGGAAGCGGCTGGACTAAGAATTTTAGGACCAAGTGGCACCCACGGCCTGATGACTTCGACAATTGCGAAACTAGTCAAATGTTACATCCATGCTCAATTCCTAAAGAGATGGGATGGAATCAAAGGATGCAATCTTGCCAGGATCACCTTGGGCGACCCTGGGAAGCTGGCGCCGAAGAAATATCTGGCAATGACTAGGAAAAATCTACGCCTAACAGTAGGATTTCTGACTGGCCACTGTCAACTAAGGAAACACCTCCATAATATGGGGCTGGTGGACACACCTCTATGCAGGATGTGTAAACAGGAAGATGAGACTGTCAGGCATGTCCTATGCGAGTGCCCGGAGTTATCGTCAATAAGAGAGTGTGTGTTCGACGAGTCTTGGCCTACACCTGCCGATATAGAGGAGATGTCTCCTAGTGACCTGTCCACGTTCCTGGAAAGGACAGGATGGACGATGACCTAGGAAGACAACTCCTTGGGAGGATGTACAATGGGTCACATGCGTGGCCTAAGTGCTGTGAGCTTACACTCACCCTCCCTACTCTATAGATTCAGACAGATCTTAAGATATATGATGGAATTGGCCGATACTTGATGAAAATTCATAACTAACGTATTCAAAAAACACTTCATTGGAAAATGTTCACTAGACAGTATTACAAGAATGCAACACGTGTTTCGCCTGTTTACAGTAAAGACACTTCTGAAGAAGCCATTTTTTGGAGAAACACGTGTTTTGTAAAATTGTTCAGTGAAAATCTTACAATAAAGTGTTTTTGAATACGTTAGAATATCTCAAAATATTTTCTATACTAAAACTACTCATACACTTTTAAGGGTGGTTGGTGGTGGTAATGCAGGACTGGGAGCTTGGCCGTGGCAAGCAGCTCTTTATAAAGAGGGTGAATTCCAATGTGGAGGTACTCTGTTATCAGATCGATGGTTAGTTTCTGCTGGACACTGCTTTTACCAGTAAGTATTAACTTTGCACTCTATTTCACAAATTTAAACTGATGTGAATGGTTTTTACCTAAATTTTCAGTTCCCAGGAAGAATACTGGGTTGCCAGACTGGGTGCTCTTAGACGAGGCACTTCCTTACCGTCCCCTTACGAACAGCTGAGACCAGTCATAAAAATATTGGTCCATCCTGGATATGTCGATTCGGGATTCATTAACGATATTTCTCTTCTTCAACTCGAATCTCCAGTTGTTTTCAGCGACTACGTTAGGCCAGTATGTTTGCCGCCTCCACAGCAAGGCCCCGAAGATGGCCAGCTATGTACAATAGTCGGATGGGGGCAACTGTTTGAAGTTGGAAGAATATTCCGTAAGTATAAATTACAAAACAACATCATGGATAAAATATTATTCACACACATGAACACCATTTGTCAATATTTCTCCAACACAAGTATTTTTGCCGGAATTATGCCAGATATATTTTTGGGATATCACGAAATTGACGGTGCTCCTAATGGTGGAAAATAATTTAGGTGAACTTCTCGAAAATGTGACAGAACCAATTTATGGTAAAAGTATGACGGTGTCACATCTCACTACTTACTCGAGGTAGGTTGCATCATCACTATAAACATTGGTGGATTGGCCACGGGCGAGATGCACCACAAAAATGACCACCCTGTACTCCTGTACACAGTTTGGATGATTATACTTACGGGAGGGTTTTATGAAGATTTTATATATCTAAAAATATCCAGTGAAAATGAGCGTTATATTGTATTTTTTATGATAATCACAATGTATGATGAACACAATATAAGAGAATGGAACAGAAATACAAAACAAATATCACCCTCTACGTGAGGTGAGGGTGACATTTTTGAGATTTGATTTAACAAAAGCTGTATTTCAATGCAGTTTTTCATTTTTTTGGACATTCGAATTAATATTTGGGGGAAAACTCACTGCATAACAAAATCTCAAGAACGGTTGATGCGAACAGATATATACATTTTATAGCTTAAATCATCTTGAGCTTTGAAAAACCATTAAAATTTCAGCAATCCTGCCTGTGGCATCGGCATATGAGAATATTATCCGATCCCTCATCTCTACGCCTGTGGAAAATCCACCTCAAAAACTAGTAATTGGCGTAAAGAGGCATTATCTGGAATTGTTTTGGAAAATATACCACCTTGTATGATTATCATAAAATATCAATTTTCAAATTCAACATCCTGTATTTTTACAAAGTAAGCTACATCTTTTTTTCTCACGATGTGATGGACTAAGGTGTATATACTCTCTTTTCTGGAGGTTTAAAGATCTATTGCTTGTAAAGGTCTACCATCACTGACAGTTTCTTCAATGAAAACTTACAAAATCTCTTCACTGTGAGATATTACTGTGAAATGTACCGATACAAAACCGCGACACGTGTTTCGCTATAGGTATAGTAACTTTCCCCAGCTGGATTGTAAATTGTTCAAGGATGCCTGAACTTTTCTGCAAGGGTTTGACCAATTAATGAAGCGGTAGATTTCACGTGATCAATTATTTCCATTGAGGAAAGTTCAGGCCTTTTGCAAACCTTGGAATGGGAGGAATGCCATGTTGATGACGTTGATGGCTTCGTACTTCTCCATGTCGTAGCGAATTTGCAACTTGTACAAAAGAAGATATATTTGGCCGAATGTAATATGTGTGTCATGTATAATGGGAATCACCGGATTTTAAAAATGAAAATATCATTAAACATTTCACAGACTGTGTTCTTTCCAAAGAATTTTACCAAAAGTAATAACAGTGTGAAGGCTCAGAACAATATTTTATCAACAGTGAATTCAGTTGAGTTTAGATTGTTTAATTTTTAGCCGATACTTTACAAGAAGTTCAAGTTCCCATCATATCAACCGCGGAGTGTAGGAAGAGGACCCTATTCTTGTCGCTCTACCGTATCACTGACGACATGTTTTGTGCTGGATACGAAAGAGGAGGAAGGGATGCTTGTTTGGGTGATTCCGGTGGACCACTCATGTGTCCAGAATCGAATGGTAGATGGACTTTACAAGGTAAGCGAACATTCATCAAATTTGAAAAACGGAGCGAGTGAATGTTATGAAGAGTTCAACTAACATTCTGCATGGGGTAAGGTATATCATTTGTTGCAAATATCCGAAAAATATTCGCACTTCAAGAATGAGTATAACCTTGAATGAAGTGATTGAAAGATGAACCTACATACCAAATTAATATCTAAATATGTGTGTTTTCCAACTGGACCTCTAGGTATCTGCAATACTGACCATAGAGATCTTTGGATATGACGCTTCTTGATTGCTGTTTACCAAGTTACTCTGATGACACAACTATATTCTTAGGTGGAAAATTCTAATTATCTATGTACTAATTATCTATGTACCATAACCTGGTCAGTACCATTGTTGATAAATATGGCAGTTCGAAACAGCGCTGTTTCATGGAAGCAGTGTTTTTGGGCTTTGTTATTTTCCTACCTACCTACCAGAAGAGTACCGAACTTTGTAACAGAATAATTTCCAGTCACAAGGTTGATACCGATCTGAATTTTCCATTGAACACGATATCACAACATTAACAAAAGCACTAGACAATAAAATATCTGATGAGGTGCAAATGAAATTACTGACTCATCTTGAAGAACAATTCATTCAGGCCTGTCTCAAATAACCTACACTGTAGGTTAATGGAAAAACATCTATCAGAAAATAACTACTCCTCTGGTTGATACCACGAAGGCGTTGAATTATACCCGACAGAAGTAACTCCTACATATGCCAGGGGGGATATAAAAAAATCTCCTACTTATGCTGTTGGCGATACAACTGCCGGAATCCATTTTCAATTATTGGAACACACTTGCAGACCGGTTTCGAGCTATTTGGCTACTCTTCAGTGCCAGGTAGTGTCTATCACCGACATGAAGTCGATGATTTCTCATAATAAAAAATTGAATCCCGTTCAGAGTATCATTCCTCGAACTAGGCTGAAACGAACGACAGACAACATATTTGTCATCGCTTAATCTGCCCATGAATGAGGTAAACAACCGCATATCCAAATTTGACCAATTCCTCCAACTACTTCCCTAATATCAGCCAGGGGTAGTTGTTTTATGATAGGTGTCAGTCTATTAACCTACATTGTAGGTGAGTTGAGACTGGCCTGAACGAATTGTTCTTTAAAATAATTTGATTTACGGCCAGTCTTCAAGTATATCCCCTTATATATGTAAAACTACTGTCCCTTCGATACTTCAGGATATAATATATACTTTGCATGTTCATATATTTGAAATTATACGAGAAATATAAAAAAGTTCGTCAGATTCAGTTATTTTCAATAATTTTTTCGCACTATCTGAAAATATATAGAAGATATGGATTTTTAATTTATGAGAAAACGCTTATTGAACAAAAATGGTTTTTCAATATCTAATTGTGCCAAAAAAAATTCAAGTTACTACTTTTTTAACGTGACTTTCATTTTCATCGATCATCAAATATATGGAAAAAAATTTTATAAACTGTTATAAATCGATCAAAATTGAAATTGATGATATTTCATGCTCTTCAAGATCAGTTTTCAAAATTATGACGTCTGTAATAGTTTTCGAGATATGCAATGAATTTAATGAAACTTTTACAATTTTTAACGACTTGAAATTTTCCAAGGAATTTCTAGTGCTCTTTCGAATCAAATGACACCCCACCTATAATTTTGGAAAGCTGCAAACTGAAATACTTGAAAAAAGTATATATCAGTCTCCGCATGGGATTATCGTGAATGGCAAGAGATAGAGGTACAGTTAAATTGTGGCAAAGTTGTCTTTAGATTACTATTGCATGATACCAAAAAATATTCCAGTTTTGATTCCGTAGATATACGAAAAAAAAAACAAACATTTTTTGAATGTCTATATGTTCGAGTATTGAAAATTATCGCCCTTACTTATTCAAGCTTGTCCTTCAAAGTTGAATCCGACAAAGCATTCACAGTTCAGCCTAAAATCATTGATGAAACTATGAGGACAAATCTTGACGGCGGTCGATGTAGAAGCTTGACTTTGCAACTGACCGCCTTGGGGAGCCTCGTCATTCTTAGACAATGATACTCGAGGACTGAGATTTCTGTCAATCACATAGATGGCGTCTTCTTGAGGAGAGATGTCATCGCCTTTACTTTCTCAGGCATGCCCTTTGAGGACAGTGGAGTCGAACCATGCATTTGTGACTTAGCCCAGCACCACTGAGCTAGAAGTTGTACAAAATGTAAGTTGGTGTATCTATTGAAAACACTTTTTCGTCACTAGAACAAAAATGCTCGACGCACGTTTCGCTAACCGTGTTAGCATCATCAGGAGTTGATATCTGATAATAAACTAATTATATTTTTTTATTTTAGGAATCACCAGTAACGGTTATGGCTGTGCGAGGGCGAATAGACCTGGCGTCTACACAAAAGTAGCAAATTATGTTGAATGGATCACTTTAAACATCGGAGGACAAGAAATTCCTTCCGAGAACACCATCTCAACTAATTCCTGTTCCGGTCATCGATGTCCTTTAGGCGAATGCCTTCCAGAAAGCAGGTTATGTAACGGCTACATTGAGTGCAGTGATGGTAGCGATGAAAGAAACTGCGAAAACAAAAATTGATATGGTCGTTAGTCAAGAATAGTGCAATTGGAAACGAAAATCAATAGTGATAAGATGTTCCCAATTATGGATACTAGTTATGAACTCAAAATATGTACCTATTGATACATCAATGACATAATCATAAGACAAACATCCAAAATGGGAATATCAGTGAAATATTTGAAAATTCACATAACATACGAAAGAGATTCAAGTCTCATTTGGATAACTTTCAGATAACATTTCAGAGGATGCCTGCCCCATATTTCTTTATGGATATGAAATGGGCATCCTAATTTATTTGGGTTGATGGTTTAAAAAAATCTCTTTCGTATAGTTGATGGGAACTGAGTGTGATATCTGTATTTATGTAAATAGAGTAGTATTTTCTGTGCCTTGGTCATAGTCTATATTTAGGTATAGACCACGCTGTATTTGAGGAATCATTTTCATATTGGGAGCAGGGGGCATCTCGCCAGGTAGTTGAATTTTCATCATGGATTAGTTTTGGAAAAGTCTCAGTATTATTGAACCAATTTTTTCCTTTATGATCGACTTCAGATCACATTATGATAGTTACAGACGTGCTCTGCAATTGCTGAGGAAGCAAAGTCTCACTAAGGAAGAGAATTAATCTAAAAAGATCTACAATAAAATGGAAAGGTTTACAAAACAGGAAACTAATAACATAATTGGTGAAATGAGCCTAGTTTTATAACAAAATTATAGGAGGAGATGAATCAATGTCAGATCTACTTATTTAGAATCAGGAACACTGTCATACCTAGACAAATCATGGCAGTTAGTCTATGTAGAATGATGGTCCAGCCTGAAAACGAATCTTATTTTTGTAAATTATCTCTGATGATTACTATTAGCGACTGATACATCTAAACACAGCTTTGTAGATCTTGAAAATTCCTATACTTTTTATAATTGAAATAAATTTCATGTCATACTTTCATTATTTATATGTATTTTCTGTTTCTCCACATCCATTTGAGTTTTCATTGCTGTCTATCTAGTGAGGCTCAGTAAAACTACCATCTTCATCTACATTTAATTTGCACAAAGGAATGTTACTTACTTTTCTACAATTGACCTGACCATATCTATCTCAGTTATAGAAACATTTCTGGAATCCTAATATTTTCAGATAATGGCAACCATTCAACAAAAATAAAAACATAGACAACCAGTTCGAACTACATTTGGAGTTGGAATTCAAAAGGAGTTCACAATTTCGAAAGTTGAAGGAAGTGGAAATGCCAATTTGAAACTAGAGTAGATATTTTGAAAAATTCCGAGAGAAATTTTTCGAGAATGGTATCATTTTTTTTTTGTTTTGAAAAAGATGCAAATTCTATTTTTTGGTTCAACCGATAGTGATGTTTCAGATCCGCGGTAATGAGGTGTATTCTAGACAAGTATGAAATGCTTTGTTTTCAAATTCAGTCTATATAAAACCTTCGTGGAAAATGTATTTACAGTAGAACAACTGAAATATGACAAAACGTTTTTGAAATTATTCATCAAATTCTTTTATGGGACTATTTATCTGGCTCTATTACTATTTTTCAGTGAAAAAATTCATTTCATTTCATTATATACTTTCGAATTGAAAACTGACTAAAAATTAATATTCGATGTAGTCTGAAAATAGCATATGCATTTAAGTAAAGATTAGGTGAGGAACTTTCATAAATGGGATACAGAAAAGTTATAACAGAAAATTAAAAAATGCATAAATGCAAAATGATTTTCCATATTTTAAATTGCAAAGATATAGTTCATCATCCCTTTTTCTGTTTCGTTAACAACAAAAATTGTTTACTAAGAGTTTTTTACCACATTCATAAATGACTATTCGGGGAAGTCTATCTGAATACACAGTATATTATGTACTAGTCCAATTAACACTGTTCATTCCTATCACCCATACTAGTCAGGTGGAGATATCTGTGTGATATTTCTTATGAGAACTCACACACAGGCGATTTTTCACTTGGGACTCTACAGGAAAATAAAACGTTTGATATTCCTGGAGAGTCACTTTTTGCTGCTAAAATAGAAAGCACATGATCATACCGCACTTTGGCACAATAACGGGCAAATTTCAACTGACTAGATCATTCACTAACCCAGATTTTCAGCCTAAATGTATCTAGCCATGCGTTTATGTATCATTGATTGGTTCTAAACAAATATTTATCGATACACTTTCTTCAACTAAATGATGAATACGTTAATATGCTAAAGAAGATCGTGTCATTATTCTCGGCTATTGTAAATCAGAAACACATTGCTAGTCTTTTCAAACTAAATACGACATTGTTGACACAACATTCCCTCTAATTAAGCTGTCTCCTTTGATATCACCTCCACTGTTGGAAGTGCGTTCCTTTCATATCTCATTTAATATCTTCTAGTTCATTTGATTTGGAATATTTGACCCTCTGGTCGAAATGATTCCTGTATAGAGTTATTGGATGTTGAACGGGGGGTCAAAATAGAACTTGGATTACATAATATCTGAATGGTGTAATGAGAAATGTATCCAGGCTATTATAGTATTTTATATGACAATAATGGAAGTTTATATGACTTCAATGTTCAAGTAGAATGAAAATAAATTTTAGAAAATAATAGTTATTTCATTTCAATAATTTCATTTTTGCGCCTGATACGGGTTTTTCAGAACTGATGGATGGAAATGAAACAGAGGTAAAGTCTAACGTTCTAATTTTAAAAATAATTAAAATATACATTTTCAATAGTTAACATGATAAAATTCAACCTGTACTGCTATTTTAGATAGAGAATGAAAAGTAGAGCTGCACAAGAAATATTTCATAGTATACTAGGGTTACATGAATAAAGTCTGTGATGTGGCTCATTCAGCTGAATGTCTCTTTATTCCTGCAGTACACGTTATGTATTACTAATGGTATCACAGATACAAAAACAAACTCATAAATGTATGATCCATAGAACGATGTACATCTACTAAAAGGAAATCACATACCTACGATCACGAAAATAAAACATCCAGAAATGGAGGGAATAATTTTGTTTCATCTACTAAGTCAGGAAATATCTTAATTTTAGTTCATTCAATAGTTGTGGATGACGATGAAGGAACTTTCTTTTTACTACGAACTAATAATTTACACGATTCACAAAAAATGCAATACTGTTAATATTTTCAGTTTTGTCTTCGTCAAATCTGACCATTGATTTTAGTCATTGGGTAATTGTTTTTTGCGTCTCCTTCTTCATCTTCCACTTCAGTTGTTTCATAGGCAGGGTTGCACAAAGCATCCTCATAAACCATCGGCAAGTCAGCTTGAATATTGGCAATTTCTGATTTAGTTTTCTGGTCAATGTTATTAGGAATTTCTGGGGTTTTCACCTTGTCTTTTTTAGTTATGTCAGTGCCCTCAGAGGGGTGTTTCTTCATGTAAATGTGGTAGAAACTGAAGTAAATCATTCCAATCAAGGCAGTGGTCACGCTAAACAACTGGAAAGTACTACGAATTCCGATTGGCTCAATTAAGTAACCGCCGACCAGGCTGCCAACTCCTTTACCTGAAAAAAATGTTATGATATTATTTTTTTATAAACTGAAGCTGACCTAAAAAAATTGTTATGTATGTTTCAAGGGATGACAAATTAATCTATGCCTAGTTGTCTGACGTTTGGCGTCACGCCTTTATTATCTGCAGTCCGAAAATTGGAAAGACATTATTACATTACATGTACATATGATCAGAACATCAATTGAACATGATGATCTGGGTTGAATCTGCAGAGTTAGAAGAGTCGTGGATCTATTTGAGCTTTTTTGCTGTACCGCAAAAATGAAAAACATTTCCAGCTGCTAGGATGAACGTCTTCGATATGAACTATTCCAGAAAATACAAATCTCATGCTCTACGGTTAGTCGTTTAAAGGCCTCCAAATATCGATTTTCAGCCTAAGAGTGCAACCCCTAAAGAGATGCATCATATCTCTCGTTACTCCAAAAGAGTGCGGCAATATCGGAGGAGCAAACAAATTTGCAGTAGTGACTCTGATTCAACCCGACAACTCCATTATGGCACAGTGAGTGTTTCAGGGTAGAGATAATGTAGTCACCTGCTATATGAAGAAGAAGCTCTGACCATGGAAATTTGATCAGATGACATCCGAGTGGAATTTATTTTCAGAGCAAAGAAAAACCTCGTTTCGACAAAGAAAAATGTTCTTGAGTGCAATAAACTTATTGGTGGACAAATGAGAAACATTTACCAGAAGTTCGTCTTTGATGAAACTTGCAAATATGTCTGTCGGCTATAATTCAATGTCATCGTAGTATTCGCCTGGAAAGTCGTTTTTTGGCAGATGCTACTGTGTAGACTCATTTAATTACTTATTGAATGCGATGCGAATCCGAGCAAAAAATCTTCATGAATTGACTCTTAATAAAAGAATGCGGTACTTACCAACTCCGTAGTATAATCCACCAAGCATACCCTGTATACTGGTATCAGTTGTAACAGTTGATAATTTTGCAGCGTAAGTCACGGCAGCTGTAAAACTCAGACCAAACGTTATCGATTCCATGGCTTCAAATACCAAACATAACCACGGGTTGTAAATTAAAGAATATCCCAGAAGACGTATGGCATAGAACACGAATCCAATGAAAATAACGTTTGCGTGACCAATTTTTTTGACTATCGGTCCGGATAATACTAGTAGAGGTATGCCAACAATGCCACCAATGGTTACTGTAAGACCCATCAACGATTTGGAACCACCAAGGTCGTCTATTAGCCAGAAAAGGAAGCTCTCTATGAAACCCCATGCACAACCTGCAAGCCAATCACACATGAACAAATATTGAAATGTACTATTGTCAATGTAAGAATCAATATAATTGATTTGACTTACCTAATACTATACAGGAGAGGAACAAAGCTATCAATTCTAATTTTTTAAGTACAGTTATCACATCGGTTATCACACTAGATGCGGCTTTTTTGAATTCCAGGTTTATGAATAGCATCAAAAATCCACTGACAAGTTTCAAACCAGCGTATAAGAAAAATATTGGCCTGCAACAAAGAATTATCCCTTTAGTTTTTACAAATGATGCTCTGCTATGAAAAAAGTGCTTTTATCGAAATAACAAATAACGCCAACACCAATATAGCTCTCTTAATGCATTTTTCAATGAACATTCTCGAAAAAAATCAGCTTGTCTCGAAGGTTGGTACTTTAAAAGCACTTAATCGAGTTCAGAGGGTACCACTCCTTATGGAACTAAGTCAGTACAAAAGTGCAGTGCATGTCAAGTACCGAATAAAAATCCATGAATAAAAATCTAAATAATATTCATGTTTGAGTGCCATTTAGAAATACAATCAAGAATTCTCCAATCGAGAGATACTATCGAAATGCTAATTGCATTTCGATTGCGTCCGTATAAGCCTAGAGTAGTAGTTGGAGTTAAACACTAATCCTATTACCCTCAACCAAGTTGACTCTCGACTGGGCAAAGGAATTAACTTTGGGAAAGAGAAAAGTTCTCGCTGATCCAAGTAACTACAGGAAAAGTAAAAATACCTGAGACGACGAAACGTGATTCAAATCATTTCAAAATTACCAGAGTAGTTCAGAAACAAGCTTCAGGTTACCATTTCAAACTGAAATTGAGTAAGTATTACCTTCACAAGCCGACTTGAAAATCAGTGGCACAGTGTCAATAACTGTGTCAATAACTGAATAACAATAACTGTGTCAATAACTGAACTGCCATGCTATTCTAAATTGACTCTACAGAGTAGATATATCAGTTTTCCCATGGAGTCTCATCTAGGAGCCATAATAAATTTGACAAGCTAGGTTAAAAAATTATCTGTCCAACCAGTAGGATGTACAATTCTTTACCAAAAGCATTACCTGGTATGTTTTGAACGAAGAAAGTAATAATATGGGACGTTCTGGAACATCCCATCCATTGAAAATGTTCTGTTTTTTACCTGTAGGGCATGCTTTTGGAGATATTACAGTTTCTAGGAATTTCTATAACAGTCCAGAATATTCGAAATCATTCCCCGACATTCCTGAATATCCTGGAACACTATGGAATGTTCGGGAATAGCCTGGAAGGTTCCTGAACATCTCAGTTCATTGTTGAATATTCCAAAACAATCTCTGATGCTGAAGAATGTTCGGGAACATTGTGAACTATTAGAACTATTTGTATGGGTGGTGATACCTATTGGTAGAGATATATGAAGTAAGATCTGTCGACCTTTTATAATTTGAAGTTAATCTTTTTATTCCAACCACCACACAATCTGATGTCAACTCAGGGGTACTTCAATTTATAGTGTGTATTACTTCCTTGGCCATTTACTTTAACTGAAATCTCTTAATCAAAAGTTGTAAATATTTTAAATCTTTACCTAAAATCTGTGTAACCCTTGCCTTGACTGGCATAGTCTATCAACCATCCCGATAAAGGCGAGCTTATCATACCACCAATTGTAGCGTATATCCTTTGCAAACCATAATCCGCCTTATGCTGTCTCAAAATTGCTATCACCGCTCCTTCAAACATGGCGAAGGAAGTTCCACTGATTATACCCACGAAAACTCGAACAGAGAGGTAAGACCAAAATGTTACCGTCATATCAAGTTCAATTACAGTTTTTGAGTTGGAACACACATTTTTTCTTGGACTTGTCGCGAGGCATCTATGAACACAGCTACCTAGATCGAGATGTTTCACTGTGGTGTCAGTGGAGTTGATGGGAATAGTAACTGATATGTGTTTTCCAACCATCGCAGTGTTTTGTAAGCAGCTTATATTGGTTCTATTTTTGTTGTTGATATAGTCGATTTCAAAAATTTGTCTATTTTCCTCGAAGTCGATGTGTTCTATGATTTTTTGCTTTATGCCTGCCTTCCACGGACTCTGGATTCTTTGGAATCCATCGAACTGGTCTCTGCTTCCCAAAACGCAACTCAATGAAGCTTCATCAGACATATCACAGGAAAAATTATACATAGAAATGGTTGGAAAATAGAAAAAATTCTTGGACAGTTTTCTTATAGAAGTCCGGTATCTTTCGTTGTTTTTAAGGGTTTTTTGATTCTTTGCCTTTGTGATGGGTTCGGGTTCGATGAGGTCACCTTCGCTCAATTTGTGAGTGTACGTTAGAGTGGAGTTTTTTTGGATGTCATATATTTTAACGTCATAACTTCGTGTCCGTATAATTTGATTCGTGTAATTCTCACTCAGAATAGCTTGGCAAGCGAAGCCACAGGATTCTACTTTCAGTTCTGTGTCAAGAATACGATCGGGATCTATGGTCGTACAAGGATACTCTTGGTAGAGCGACAATGCAGGAGTCGAATTAGTATCGCAAGATAGTCCAAATACGAGTCTATCCGGAAATGTAATGGTCAATCTACCAACAGGTACGAGCAGTAGGAGTAGGGCTGATGCTCCACCAATTGCGGAAAAGGATGCCAACAGTACCTGAAATGAAGAAAAGGTGTTATTTTCATCAAATTCCGCAACTTGAGTTAATAGTACATCTGAGATGTCTCTTATCGATTCAGTCGTTTTGATCTTGAAACTTGTTTATAACAAAGGAAATACCCAGATCGGAATATTAAGTTTGACTTTGAGGAAATTACCATTACTACGTTATTAATTACCTTGGAAGTAACAATGTCTGCATTTTTCAATAAATGACTTTACCGATAAGGACCTTTCCGGCTTTTTTACGGAATGTCCTTTTGATATGACGAACATTATAATGTGATTTAAAATAATGTAATGAGAAAAAATAATGTACGAATATAAGACTGCTTTACAAGTTTTGCCCATTTTTATGAGTCTACTTTGACTGTAATAGCTCAGTGGATAGTTTTTCAGTTCAATCGAAATAAGCGCCATTTGAATCAGTGCACTTTTGCCAATGTAAGTCGATTACTTCCATCAGCATTAAAATTGTGTGTTCGGGATTTGAAGAAGTCGAAGAAAGTTATCGAAGTTTTCTAAAAGATGGCAGTCGGTTGGCGAGAGGTCTGGGAAGTATGGTGGGTGAGGCAGACGCTCAATTCGTTTAATTTTCGGGCGGCGATTTGTGACACATGCGGACGGGCGTTGTTGTGGAGCATGATCGGAACTCTTCCGTTGACCAGTGCGGTCAACACGGTGATTTGGCCCGGTTGCAGAAAGTTATTGTAACCAGCATACACTAACCATGGTCTTTCATGACGGGTTTTCGGCTTTGGGAAGTGCTTGGTTACTTTGTCGGTGTCCAACCACTGTTCTGAACGTCTTCCTGTTGTCGTAGATGATTCACTTTTCGTCCAAAAAGGGATCCTTTTGGTTGTGCAAAAGCAAAGAAGAACAGACCTTGAAACGTGACAATTGCTGTCGATCGTTCAAAACGCGGGGCATCCACTTTTCGAGTTCTTCCACCTTCCAGTGCGTTTCAAACCATCATAAACCGCATGGGAGCTTAGACAATGTCCTTGTAGAACAGATTGGACAGGTAATATTATCGAATATCACTTCATTTTTTCATAATGAACATTTGGTACAAAATTCAGTTTGAGTCACCCTGTACACATTCTTAGAGCTCGAACGGAAAGTTTTTCTTCAATTATTTTCTATATCAGATACTTACTGAATAGATCGTTATTATACAAAAAATTCGTGGGTTATTATTATTCAAACGATTTCAACAATATTCACGCATTGTTTATCGAACAATTATTTCAACAATTTCAACATCTATCGAAATTCCTACAACGCTATCATGCTAATATTTACTTTTATCAAGTATATACCTATTTACTTTGACATAATCAATAATTCGATTTCTGTAAGTTAACACTAGGCCTATGTATCTGGTGGATATTTTATTTTTTTACTGAGACTTACTCAAGAAGGGGGTTATATTAGCTGTCTAAAGGACCCGAAACAACTAAAAAACCAAAGATGAAGTGAAAAATCAACGAATTTCATCAAACGGACCATTATATTACATATATTTTCTGTAATAATGGCACTTCAACTTATTCGTGAAGAAGGTTCAGAATATTCGACAGTATTTCATAATATTCCAGACCATTCGGCATATTCTGGAATGTTATGGAATAGCCTGGAACGTTCCAGAATATCCCACATCATTGTAGAACGATTAAGAGAGTTAAGAATCACACGTTAAAAGGTAAGACCTCGTTAATCTTTAACTCGCACAAGTTTCGACTTTTGAGGGTTGTCGTTCGTAGGGGTGCGACAGCTGGTTAACGGAAAAACAGATTTTAAACAGATTTTTTAAACAGATGGTGTGATAGCTCTGTATTCCCCCGTTTTTACCTGAAGGTCGTGCTTTTGAAGATGAAAGGGCTGGAAGTTTTGCTCTCTATAAAGATCCTAAAGAGTCTATAACATTTTTCTAGAGCATTCTACAATATTGAAAAACACCCGGAATATTCTGGGATGCTTGGGAATAGCCTGGAACATTCGGGAACATTTCTGTCTACTACCCAAGAAAAAGTTTCCATTTTTACCTGAAAAGCGTGCTTCTGCTTCGCCCTCTAGAACAGTCCAGAACAATCAAGAGTATTCAAAAACATTCTGCAACGTTCTAAAACAATGCGAAATATTCGTGAATGTCATGGAATGTGCAGGAATAGTTCGGAACGTTCGGGAACATACCAGAACAAGATTGTGAATCATTACAGACCAGCATATTGAAATTTCGTGGAATCTGTCTGTTTTTCCGTTAACCAGCTGTCGCACCCCTATAAACGACAACCCTCAGAAGTCGAAACTTGTGCGAGCTAAGGCTGGCTGGTGCTACTCACTGATATGGATATATACTCGTTAAGCAACCCTTAGGAACTCAGTGTATCATGATTAAAACATCTCAGAAGCCAGCACCAGGAATTGATGGCTTTCATGGAAATCCCATGAAAGTAGTTAGCGATATAGTATGTTATCCACTTGAACACATTATCAATTTGTCATTTGATACAAGAAAGTATCCAGAAGAAATAAAACTACCGAAATCGGTTTATATGTACAAGAACAAAGAATCTAGAATGGTGATAGAGAATAGTCGTGATTTATTCAATTAAATCAGATTTGGTGTTCCTCAAGGGTCAATTCTAGGTATATGAATATTACTGGAGTTTTTTTTCCCAACACCAAATCGTTATTTTTAACACCTCGACACGTGTTTTGATCACCAAGTGATTATCTTCAAAGAGGAAGATTAAAACTAGAAACTGATGCGAGCTAACCCTATTTATGCTATAAAGGTAACCCATACAGGTAAACCATCCAGGCGTACAACCATACAGGCAAAATTGTAAAATTAATTTAGGTTGGTATGCCTGTATGGTTGGTACGCGTGGATGGTTTACCTGTATGGGATATCTATAGCATAAATAGCGTTAGCTTCGTGTTAGTTCCTAGTTAAATCTTCCTCTTTGAAGATGATCACTTGGTGATCGAAACACGTGTCGAGGTGTTAAAAATAACGATTTGGTGTTGGAAAAAAAACTCCAGCAATATTCATTACTACACCAAAGGTTCCAAACAGTGCATCATAAGTCAATTCTAGGTGTTCTGTTCTTTACTATTTCCATGAACGACATAATATACTCTTGTACTTCCCCAAGCAAAATAATAGTGTATGCAGAGAACACAAATAAACTGATACTTGAAAATATTTCGAAGTTGTCCTAAAAAATGAATATGTATTGCAATTCCAAAACTGGTGCAAAAAATAGATTATTGAAAAATGCACTTTAATCGCAATGTATGCTTTTTCACCTCAACATATTACTTTTAACTGTTCAGAGTGGGTGCCGCGCGACCTCACAATCGACCAAAAACAACAACGATTTGACGATTCTGAGTAGTGTTTGAAACTTCTTCCCCATAAAAAACCCGACTGTATGTATCGATATGTGACAATGGATGAAACATGGTTCCCCAATCTCACATCAGAATAAAAAACGATCGTCATCTGAGTGGTGAACCGACTCCAAAGCGTGCAAAGATGCAACAGTCGGCTGGCAAGGTTATGGTATCAGTATTTTGGGATGTGTTTGGTATAATATTCATTGACAACCTTGAAAACGGAAAACCATCAACAGATACCCTTACATAGTGTTCAATCTAGATTGAACTGTTCAATCTGAGGAGTAGGCAGATTGAGGCCCCGGCTTCAAGTCACATCAAATTTTTGGAAATGTATCCAAAATGGGAACCGAAACGTCGAACATAAAACTCCAGACGCGGTTTAACCCGAAATCAACGACAACATCACCACCCCGATTCCTCGCGGACAACATTGTCGGGCCAATTCATACAAAACATCAATGGAATACACACATAAACCTTTCTCTCGACCATCTATTGATAAAAATCGTATGAAAATTCGTCCCGTAGTTTTTGAGTTTATCACGTCCAGACAGACAGACAGGCAGACACGGTGAAGGATATTAATGTATTAATGTATAATAAGTAATGAATATTACTAGAGCTTTTTTCAACACCAAACCGTTATTTCAATACCTCAACACGTGTTTCGATCACCAAGTGATCATCTTCAAGAGGAGGTGTTGAAAATAACGGTTTGGTGTTGGAATCCAACTCCAGTAATATTCATTGCTACACCAAAGGTTCCAAACAGTGCAGCAAAAGTGTATAATAAGTATTCGTACGAGTATAAAACATATTATCTTTTGTCGATAAGAAAACCCGCTTATAAACTAAAAATCTGAACTCTACCAAATTACCCGGATATTGAATAAAACACACTTCAGATTTATGATATAAGTTGTTAGGACTGATTCCGTTATTCCTTATTATCTATTCATTTACGAGTAGGTATGTAAACATTCTGATTGTTGTTACGTGGAATATTATATTTCATTTATAGTTATATCTGTAAATTGTGTTAGTCACCAATAAGACAGTCATCAAATAATGGAAATTTTACTCAATCGTTTTTTAACGAAATGGTAAATTGAAATGGTAAATTTAACAAAAGTACATATTCCCTATTTCATGCATGGTATGTTTATTGGTTAATACCCGGTGTTCCCTGATTGATATAGAAAGTTGGGTTTACATTTATTCATCAATGGAAACCTATACAGACATTATATATAGCAGACCTAAGTTATTTACATGCCCTGAAAACATAATGATAACTCTGTGAAGCTTTTGTATTTGGCGATACCATTATAGTATTGATTTCGGTATGCCTTAGGTTAGGTTAGGTTATGTCAAAAGTGAGTGAGTCTATTCGACCCTCCACCGCAACCCGCAAGGGTTTATTGTGGCTCACACCTATTCACACTCGACCGAATAAACCTAGCTTCTTACGTACGGCTCTGCCGAACTCTAAAAACCTGATTCGGTCCCCAACGGGGCACGCACAAAGTATATGCTCTGCCGTTTTATCGTTGATGAGGTAGTCGGATAGTCAAGGTGCAAGATTC